AATAGTATAATTAATTTATCAATACTTAAAAATAATTTAATTTTTTTCCACCCACATATCTATGGATAGCAATCTGGTTAAATTGACAAGAATTTTAAAATTTTCGCGTCAATTCCTGAAATAACAATATAACTCAAATTAAACCCCTAACAAAAAACCTAATGCAAATCCACCATGTAATTCATCAACTTCTATATTTATTCTTGTATATCTATTTTTCTTAACTTTTCCTCTCTTTAATTATTTACCAACTAATCACCACACATTATCAAACCCATTAAATCGATCGCACTTCCTTTGAATCTCTACCTTGTACATATGCAATCCCTATACATAATTTAGTCCCATACATAGACTTCAATATTTGTCGTATAAAAGCTTCGTTGGAACTTTAAAAATCTGAGAATCAAAGATTTGACAAAAACAGCACTAAAATTCCAAAGTGTTGATTAATGGCACCAGTTTCTGTATATTGAAAAGGGTCATCAAAACCATTGACAGGAACGGCGCTTTTGGGCAGAACTCCAAAAATAGAATCAGTTTGATAGTTTTGTACAAAATTTGAAGAAAATGAGTTTAAAATACCAAATCAAACCAAAAATCCTTATACCACTCCAATACCTCATAAATCAAGGGTTTTATATTATATAAACACAATAAATTAAAGATTGAAACTCTAATTTACAAACCCATTTCAAGCTTCTTTCCCTTTAACACTAATCTTCCAATATATATTATTCTTGTTGTTTAATACCTCAAATATATATCAATAATCATTAATTCTGGCTAAACCTCAAATTTGAGAAAAAAAATTCCATAAAACCCAAAAAAATATTTCACATACTTGTACTTAGCACCTCTCTATAAATCAAATGAGAAATTGAAGAAATGGAAAACCCAAGCTTGAAAACCAACTTCATTTATCATATTAGAAACTAAATCTCAAGATTCCTTTTTATATCATTTCTGGGCATTTAAGTATTAGCAATTACAAATTAGACCCCATGAAAATTATTTATTCAACTTAAGTCCTTATTTGGCTTGAGCTTTGACCAATTGAATTGCTTNTTTTTATATCATTTCTGGGCATTTAAGTATTAGCAATTACAAATTAGACCCCATGAAAATTATTTATTCAACTTAAGTCCTTATTTGGCTCGAGCTTTGACCAATTGAATTGCTTGTTTTTTACTACATAATTTCTTGGTTTGACTATAAATGAGTGGGTTTTAAGTATGTAACAGTTGGTCTTCTCAAATATAGCACTGAGGAGAGGGCTCAATCGAGAGCAAGTGCATTGTTCATACACAAAACTGGAGAACTTCAAGCCTGAGGATTACCATTGTCGGTTTCAATATCGGAGGTAGTGACGATTTGAGTCAAACATCTAATTTCAGTGTTGACTAACGGAATATTGGATGGAATCTGTCCAATGGACTCCGAATGCCGTCAAAGTGTGAGGTTTTGGGATTGCAATTGCAAAAATATAAGGTTAATGTGTATTCTACAACAAATTGAAATGTGTGGAATTTCCACTACAATTTTCCCTAAAAATATATAAATAGATGTGTTCATATCCTTAAAATAAAAATAAACAAGACATTGTGTTCCCATCCATGTAACACAGCTCAGCATGGCTCGATTTACACAAATTCCACATGATCTATGAATTCATTGCCCTTTAGTCCTCAATCTTTTTCTAACAGTCCAAATTCAACCGCATGTTCATTTGGCCCATTGAAATGTTGCACATTGATTGATAAGTATATTTGTTAGTAATTTAGATGAGTTATGGCTTAATTATGTATTTGTTATTTTTGTTACGTAAAACTTGAGGCAAAGTGGTGGAAATGAATGAAAAAAGGAAAAACAAAAGAAAGAAATCTAAAGTTTGAGGACCAAAGTGTAAACATTCAATAGTTTATTCGGACCATAAAATGAGCGAAATATAGTTGAAGATTGACCATAAAATGATGGTTGAAGATCACATATAATCAATTGGATGTGAAATGAGTGAAATATAATTGAAATATTTTCACAAATCATTTTTCAATCGAAAAAGTTATATTTCAGATTTTTAGCCTCAACTTGAGACTCATTTTCTGGATAGCAAGCATTCGAATTGGAAAAATTGTTTCTCTAGAATAATTTTATCCCTTTGAATTATCTTTCCAACGCATTTTGAATTATCTCAATTGAATAGCGAGAGAGAAAGTTATGAGCAAAATATCGAAAACTACTCGAGGACAAATCAACGTGAACCGGAGCGCGTGTAGGCAATTCATGGTGCATTTTCACGAACCGGAGAGCCATTTGGCTCAATGGCACATGGGCGGTAATTATGCCTGTGCGCTTGAGGGCTATTTTTGCATATGAATCAACAATTTCTTTTCGCGATTCAAAATCTTTTACAATCCAAATTGAAAGCGATTTTAGCTTATTTTATCGCTCTTATAAATAAGAAAACAAGGGCTATGCATTGAAAAGCCTCTTTCTTGCCTCTTCATAAACAATAACATCATAAAATTCATCACAAACAAGTGGCCAGTTGCAATATTTTGATAGGTGAGATCAGACCCTAGCAAGGAATTAAAGCAAATTACATCAAAATTTTGAATAATTCAACATTTGAATTGAAGATTGACGTCTTTTGCATTCTATCATGATCTGGATTATATTTTTCTATTATTCTTCTTATAATTTATTTAAAAATATGTTATGATAGATCCCTTTTTATATTGGATGAAGATGCACCATATTTGTTATTTATTTATAATTCAAGACTAGTAGTTTAGTATGTCTAGCGCTTCTTGATTAATTTTGCATACACATTGCATTATTTAATATTTTGGCAACCAATTAGATAATTAGTTGTTTGTTGCAGTGTTGAAAAATTCAAAATAAATTTAGAACGCAACAAAATTAACATATATGCAACAGATGTTAAGAATAACATTTATAACGTATGCAATCATATTGATAATTTAATGCATTCTAATCATTTGAATTTGGGTTTGGAATACAATTAAACCTCGATAAAGTAATACCCTCGGGATCGGAAAAAAATATTCATTTAGCGGGGTTATTTATTTATTGATAAATGAATAAATTATTCATTTA